AATGCTGCATTTTTCTCATTTGCCATGTAAAGCTTTAATTCCTGCTTCATTAGAGCAGATAGGATGCTAAGGTTTACCAATCAAAAAAGTTTTTTCATCAAGTCCTTAATCCAGCACACAGCATCCTGAACAAATTCACTCAGGGACAGTTATGATGAGGAGAAAGCTACCAGCCTGGACATCTTGTCCTGACCCCTTGGCCACTGTTAAGATTTAGATCTTAAATGTCCCTCCCAGACTCACACACTAACAGCTTGGTAACCAGCTTGTGGCACTATTGGGAAGAAGTGGAACCTTTAGGAGGTGGGGCCTAGTAGGAGGAAGTTAGGTCATTGGGGGTGTGGCCTCAGAGTGGATATTGGGATACCATCTTCTTCCTCTTTGTTCTACCACACACCTGCCATGATGACTTACCCCAAAACCACATGGCCAAGTGGCCATCGACTGGAAAATTATGTGATGCTAGCAATTTCCTCCTCAGGACAAAGCTGTGGAAAATATACTAAAATCCTGTCTTTTGGGAGGTTTGAGCCAACATCACACATCAGACTTTTCCTATCCAGTGGTGGCATTGGGAAGCACCAATTCTTGCCAAGACCAAGGAAATCCCATCATTTGAAGAAGTTTTACCTTGTTAATTTCTCTTTCTAGTAGTAAAAGTCAAAGAAAGAAAGGGTTAAAAGTATGTAAATGTCCCGGGGGGGGGGTTGTACAAATATTTGTACAATAAGTATATGTAAACTGGGTGTGTATTTTTATATGTTGTACTTAACCTGAATTTTATATAGTAGTTGCTTGAGTGCTGTAATAATGAAAGAAAAGCATTTGTACTTAAAGAATTTTAAGTATTTATTCTTTGAGTGCTTCATTCAAGCTGTAGTTTTAAAATTTAAGAACTTCCAAATAGTTAGAAACTAAAAGCAGTCAAATGCTACTGAGTTCTTGTTGAACCAAGAATCTTAGACAGCACAGTCTTCAAAACTTCCTGAGGCAAATCAAAACCAGTTTTTCAGAATTAGAAATAAAATATTTAGGCTGAAGACCACAGTTAACTCAGTATCCTATAACTTTGGTATTTTAAATAGTAATTCTCAAAGGAATAAGTCAAGTCAGACAGGGAAATAAGGGTATAAATTCTCAGGTTTTAGTGTTTGTTTTCAATCCCTTCCAGAGAGGAAACTTCCTTTCCAGTCTTCTGAGCACCACACTTCAAAGGAAAATTGTATAATTCTTATATTTACAACATCATGGCTGAAATTATCTAATTACAAAGGTTAAACAATTTACATTGTAAGATGGAGGAAGAGCACTTTGAATTCTGAAACAGATGAAGTGATGTGTGTGTGCTGCTGATTTTTTTTAAACCTCATATACTTGATCTGGCCTTGTTACTTTGTCAACTTAAACTCTCAATGTCACTTGCCAGGTTGAAATAAATACAGAAAACACAATGTCTTTGAACAATGCCTCCCCAGGGTTTAGAGCCATGATAATTATTGTTCTATTTGAGGCGAAGGGAGTGGAATGACAAAGAAAAAAAAAGGACTCAAAAAAGAAGAAAAAGAGAGGACGCAAGATAACACATCTTTGATTTTTGAATCTGGGATTGGAAATGGAGGTCATCTTGTGGCTGCGCTTTTACAGTAGCAGGATCTTTCAGCCACGTGTGCGAGCGCTGTTAATGTGGCTCCATTATTAAGAAATTACCAGAGCTGAAAACATGAAAGTCTGATGTGTTTTCAGGGCAACCTAAGTTTGATCTTTCAAGTCTGAGGTCTGGTGACAAAACAGCGGCTCTGGTCTGCCGTCCCGCTGAGTGCGTCGCCGGGACCTGCGTCCCGGGGAAAGGCAAGGAGAAATCAGCCCTCGCGGCTCTAGATGACTGTGACGGGTCCTGGAGAAAATCGCAGACGACGCGTTACAGCTTGCCCCTTCATTCATCTGTGAAGACAAACTGAAAGTAAGCAGAGCGCAGTGTGCACCGCTCCGCGAACCGGCTCCCCACCTGCTGGGGTGGGGGTGAACGGGGCGAAGGCCAAGCGCCCGCACTAGGGGAGCAGGACGGAGCGCAGGCGACAGCTCTGGCTTTGCCAGGCAAAGCATTGAGGCTTCCTCCCCAGACTTTCGGGAGACTTGCTTCAATTTGGGAGACTCTCTGTCTCCACAGGCCTCTAAATTCTGAATGAGAATGAGCCAAATCTACTCCCCGCCCCTGGCCCGCGGAGATTTGGCGCCAGGGCGCTCAGCGGGGCCCCTCGATCCCCAGGCCGGGGGCAGTGGGCGTGGCCGCCTGTTCCCGGGTCCCCCCTGCGCCTCCCACCTGTTTGCACAGAGAGCGTCATTTCCAGGCAAAGATACTTGTCCCCCAGTAGTGACCAGGCACCACTCGGGGCGTGGCAGAGCCACTCGGGCAATCTCGTTGTTTCCCGAGGTTCCCCGGCCAGAACCAGAAGTTGCTTGGGGCCCCGGGGACTTGGCGAGCTCGCTCCGAGGTGCGCGCCGTGCGTAAAGCTGCGGTGGCTCCCGCGCCTGGCAGCAGCCCCGGGAAGGACTTCCGAGCCGCTCCGCCCAGCAGCCCCGGGGCCTTGCGGTGCGGATCTGGAGCGCTTGAGCCTTTGAGGGGAGCGTGTCGGAGGTGGCGCTGCGACTCGACACACACCTGATGGGCAAACTGATCTGGGCAGCTGGAAGGGAAAATGGAGCAGAGTGCGGAAGCGTCATTCCCCCCAGTTTAGCAGAAGGAGGTCGGAGGCAAGAGAATTCTCGACGTTTGGAGTTTCGGATTTTGAATACAGGTGTCAGGCGCATGGGCCGAGCCAACGAGCCAGAGAGGCAAAGTCTTGCGCCAGAGGTCTGGAAGGGGAGAAGGCAGGAGAGGGAGACCGTGGAGGGGAAAAGAGCCCAGATATGAAGGAAAAGTCACACCCAGCCCCAAATAAACTTTCTTCTGACCTGGAGTCTGTTTCTATTTCTTGGATGTATTTTTAAGACTTTATCCCCCCGCTCCAAGACCCCGTCCAGGGCATCTGGAGACTGCGGGGAACCCTAACCTGTGGGGCCATCTTAGCGTTTACTTAGCAGTGACTTCGTTGTGTTCTTAAGTAGATTAATTTGCATGCAGCGCCGTTTGAGAGGTTTGCTCTTTCCATCCCTTAGAGGAAACCTAAAGCTGGGGTCTTCAGGCTTTCGAGAATAACCGCGAGTTTAAAAGTCAACCCCCAAACCGCCTGAGACGAAGCGCTCGTTTCCCTAAGTGGTTCTCACCTTCCTGCGCACCGTCAGCTTCGCGAGGGCTGGTTAAAATCCTGGCTGCTGGCCGCACCCAGAAATCTCAGGCCGGGGCTGCAGAGGTTCCAGAGAATTTGCATTCCATTTCACCAGGTCACAGGCTGTGCTGATCTTCCAGGTTCCTGGACCAAACTTGGAGAACCACTGTCCTGAATTTCTTTTCTCAGTTCTGACTGTGCATGGGCATCATCTTGGATACTCAGAAGTATGTGTGCTTGGGTTCCACCCCCTAGAAATTCTGATTTGATTGTGTAGGAAGCCTAGCTGGGCATTGAGATTTTATAAGTCTCCAGCTGAATCTAATATACAGTCAAGTTTGAAAGCAACCATATTGCATCCATTGTCCCAAGATTTTGTGTTTTGTTTTGTTTGTTAGAAGAAAGTACAGGGCTTTTCATCTGCTGTGTTCTTGAGATCTTTATTTAGTGTTTTGAGACATGTTCTCATTATGTAGCTCAGGCTGGCCTTGAACTCACTATGTAGCCCAGATTTGCCTCAAAAGCATGAGCCTCCTGCTTTAGCCTCCAAAGTGCTGAGATTACAGACATTCACCTGTGGCACTATTCCTGGCTTGAGCATCTTGAAAAAGTACAACCCCTTGCCTTACAGCTATTTTACATGGCAACACAAGCATAATGTGAACTGCTTTCATGAGTTGTACAGGAATTATAGTTATAAAGGATGAGCCAGTTGTGGTGGTGCATGCCTGTAATCCCAGCACTCTGGGAAGCCTGAGGCAGAAGGATCACAAGTTCAAGACCAACCTGAGCAATTTAGCAAAACACTGCATCAAACTTTTTTAAAGCATTAAAAAATAAAAATAGGCTGGGAATGTAGCTCAGTGTAAAGGCATTGGATTTAACCTCCAGTAAAACACACACACACACACACACACACACACACACACACACACAGAGAAATAAAAAAATTGTGAATTCCCCAAGCCTTCATAAACGAAAATGATATTTATTTATTGCAGTTCTACAGATTGAACCCAAGGCGTCTAGCATGCTAGCAAGTGGTTCTACCACTGCACTACAAACCCCAGCCCCTTTCCATTATTTAAACATTTTTGAGACAGTGTGAGTTGCTCAGGCTGACCTTTCTGCCTCAGCCTCTCCAACAGCTGGAACTTAGGCGAGGGCCACCACACTCAGCTCAGATGACAGTTTAACTGAACATTCTACTTGTGTGCCCTGGGCTAATCTGTAGTCCTTTTGGCCACCTGGGCTCGGGACATCCAGCTAGGAGCCCAGGCAATCTGAAGGATGGGGGTTGTTCAAGGGTCAGACGGGAGGGTGACTGAGAGCCTCAAATCCATGCAGGCTCCCAGTATCTGGCATGACCAAGGGCCAGTGGGGCTCTGGGGCTCTCAGGTGTCTGGAATCTCTTAGTCAAGAGCAAACCCAACACTAGACATGTGAGGGTGGGTTCATGTGAGAACAGCTGCTGGAGACTTCCTAGTGGGCCTCTGAGGGCAGGGGCTGCTTCTCGCATAGTACCACCCAGAGGAGCCTGGGGCCCCAGAGCCCTCCACAAGGTGTCCTCACCTTCTTCCAGGCAGGGCTCGAAGGAGACCACCCAGGGCTACTGGAGCTGCTGAATTGCTGAGCATTTCCTGGAACACCTGCCTTTCCTGCAATTTCCTGGGGCTTGGAGGGTGGTACCTGGGGTTGTGGAAATCTGAACCCCTCCCAGAACAAGAATATTGGGAGGAGGATGAGGGGATTGCAGGAAGCAAATGCTTCTGTACCTCAAGACCTCCAAGGGGACCTCAGTCTCCAGAACTCAGGTGTGTGTGGGTGCGTGTGTTCCATCTTCCCAATTGAATTCGTCTTTATGGGTGGGCCTTTGAAGACTCAAAGAGAGTAAACCTAGGAGTGAGGGGTGGAAGGTGAGTGAGCCTGGGCACCGATTTCACACAGTGCCTGGGCCCCACTGTCGCAACCTCACTCCAGAGCCGGTCCTGCTGGGCATCTTTCATGGCCTGTTGGGACAGAATATGGCCACAGGATGACTGGGAGAGTCCCGCTTCCTCTCTCCCTCTCCCTCCTGTCTGCCCCTCTCCTCCCCACACGTGTGCACACCTCTTTCCTAAGGTTTCCCTCGGGGCAGATTACTTTATGACAGGGTGTGATAAGTGGTGATTTTGTTTCTCTTTTGATGGCAGGATTGCTTTGTAAACAGCAGCACAAACCCGTTCTGATAGTGGTTCTGCACCAATGCGTGGCGGCTGCCTGGCACAGCGTGTGGCCGAGACAAGCCCCTGCACCTGTCACCAGGGCCAAGAGGGCCAGGAGGGAGACCGCCTGCACATGCAGGGGAGCCCAGAGTGGTGACAAGGTCCTGCAGCCCTGGGACACCCTGGGCTCTGGGCCTCCCTTCTCTGCACCCTGAGGGCCTTCTCTTCCCATACGCTGCTATTGGGAACTGCATACCCACCTGAGAGTGCCCGGTGGAACACCGGATGCACTTCAGGTTTCCTACCCTCCTGGGACACCTTTGTGGGAAAGCTTCGGCCTCCTCTGCCTGTGGTTCCTGGTGATTCCATTCCTCTTGCCTTAATCCTATTGGAGAGTGGAGAAGGCTTTGGGGCCCTGGAGGAATCACTGCCAGTGAAGGCCTTGTCCTGCAGAGGCAAAACTCTCCTTTGGGGAGCTCAGCTTTCTCCCCTCCTGGCTCCCACCAGAGAGCCAGTTTATTACCCTGAGGGGCCCAAGAAAGAACCAAAGTTGAGTTGAGGTTACTCTGACCTTTGGAAAGAGGGCTCAGGTAACACAGGGGAAGAGGAGCCCTTTGGATCTGTCACTCCACCTCCCAGGGATCCCTGACTCCCAAAGAAAAGGCTCACCCCAGGCCACCGCCTTGAGTGGACTTCCTGGTTATAACTTATTGGTCAGTCTGGGGCCTCCACTCCCCTGTGCCTTCATGGGGCTCTAAACAGGCATGAGGGGAGAATCTTAGAGGTTTCAGGATGGTGTGAAGTAAGGGTCATGGGGAGATCAGCTTTCTACTGCAGTTTGGGGGCTGATGGGCTGGGAGGGAGATTTCTGGAAAGGAGTGGGCTCCCCCTGTGGGTCTGACACCAGGCCCTGGAGAGCTGGGCACTGCAGCAGGGAGGCTGAGGATCACCACCATCTGTCACCAGGTCACTGTATCCCTTCCTGCAGCTCTGAGCTCCTCCCTGAAGGCACCGAGGAAAGACTGCCCTGGGTCCAGAATCCCAGGCCCTGTCAGCTGCAGAACCCACTTGGTGGTGACTGTGATCAGAGTGGCAGAATTGCACTGCTCTCCCTCCACTCCGCCATAAAAGCTACAAGTCTGTCATTGGAAGAGGGGCCACTTGTGTGCTGAGTAGGGTCACCAAAAGCCTTAGTGGGCTCTGGCCTGCCAAGCTCTGGGGGCTGCAGGTTCGGTGGGGCTGGGCCTAAAGCTGCGGGGCATCCAACTCCCTGCCCACTGTGCAAGGCACTGAGTCCGATGGTTTCGGAGCAGGGAGGAGGCCCGATGGGGAAATGGTCTGTGGAGTAAAACAGTGTCTGGGGAGCAAGTGGGCACAACCTGGCAGCCCAGGCTTTGAAGAGGGAGTTCAGGGTGGTGCAGGTGACCAGTGTCCAGCTGGCATTGTGCTAAGCGGTCTGCCTGCATTCTCCTACTGATTTCTCACCTACCATCCACTTTGCAAAGGAGGAAACAGGTTCATAAAGTTCCGGTGGTGCCCAAGATCACATAGTGGGGAGGTGTAAATGACAGCTGTGGGCTTCAAGTGCTCTTCCACCAGACCCAGACCCAGCTCAGGTGCTCCAGAATTCCCCCTTCCATTTCTTCCCCTCCCAGCATCTGAGCAGACCCAAGGGTTCTCTTCCCCAGGGCCTGGTCTGTTTCACCCCCTTTAACCCAACTCTGCTTTTGCTTCTGTGTCCCGCCCATATTCCTCCCCTCTACCAAGAAAGAAGGAAAGGTAGGAAGGCAGGAAGGCAGGAAGGCAGGAAGGCAGGCAAGACAGGCAGGTGCCCTACTCTTTCCACCCCAGCCTGGGCCCTGGGAGCTCCTGGGCCCCTCTGCCCCCCCACACCCCCACTCCACTGGCTTGGAAGTTGTTCCCCCAGGCCGGGAGGCAGAGCTGTCCGCACCCTGAAGACCACAGCGCCCCCAGTCTGGAGCCTAGGCAGCTGCAGGTGCTGCCTCCACGTGCGCCCTGGACGCGAAGTTGGGTTCCACAGATCTAGTTTCTGTCATTGGCGAAAAGTCGGGGAAAGTGGAGTCGCAGGCGCTTATGATTTAAAATGTCATTTAATTATTTTAAATGCTTGCCAAAACAAAGGAAGAAAACACACCCACCAACAAACCTCGAACTTGTTGAGCAAGGTTCTAAGGTCCCAGAACCTTTCCAGCCCGCCTCAGTGGTGAACAACTGCAATCCCAGAAACCAGGGAGCCTGAGACAGAGAGAGCGCAACTTCGAGACCAGCCTAGGCTATTTAGCCCAGAATATGACATAAAACGGGCTCAAAATATGACATGAAAAGGGCTGGAGATGTAGCTCAGGGAGACAGCCTTGCATTCAATCCTCCAGTACAGTAAGGGAGAAGAAAAGTTTTCCATCTACTACGGAATGGCCACTAAGATCAAAGCACCGTAGGTTAGAGACGAATAACACACTGAAGCTTGTGGGGGCTACACGGAGGGTCAACCCCACTGTTTCCACGCACAGCGCCCGGGCAAGTTCCTGGGCAGAAGCGCAAGCGCAGGACTGGGAAGAGGAGATTCTAGAGTTGAGGACGCGTCTTCGCTCTGACGCGCAGACCTGACCTCTTACACACATTTGCCTGACCTGCCAGGGAGGACGACCTGAAACCGGTTCTTTGTTCATCTCCAAATCCTGGAGGTGGGAGTCGGGAAGAGGACTGGGCCTGTCGCAGCAGCCCCAGTCTGAGCTCAAGAGAGCCGAACCTCGCGCCCCTGGGTTGGGGCTGGCGTGGGGAGCCCAGCCCAGAGCCATTCTTCTCGCCCTCCTCGCCTCGCCTCTCTCCCGGCCAGGTGCGGCTGCGACGGAGCCGAGCGCCTCTGGAGCCCCAGATCCTGTGGCTTCTTTGAAAGCTCCCCCTAATTAGAAGCAGCGGTGAAATCACCGGAGTGATCTTATCTGTCGTGGGAAAGCAAACCCCAACCCCAGAGCTCAGTTGTCCAGCGCGGAGCCACCAACGCCCTCCTTCTCCCTTTAAAAAGTTTTTAATGGAACAGATAAAGAGTTCAGAAGCCACAGGGGCTCGGGGGAGAGGCGGGCTGTGAAAATGGGGGAAAGGGTGAGCCCCGTGAAATCGCTTGTGTGCGTGAGTGTTTGTGCGTTGCGTGTGTGTGTGTGTGTGTGTGTGTGTGTGTGTGTAGGGTCTCTCTCCCTCTCTGCCTGCGGGGGAGGAGACTAAATCTAGAAGATAGAAATGAAACAACCATGAACGTCTTTACTCATTGAGCAACCCTAGATCTGGAATCCAGCGCAGCAGTGGCTCCAGGGTGGCAGCCTCCAGTCCGACCCGTTAAGGCCCGCAGCGCCCCGGTCCTCGCGGCGGACGGAGCCTGGGTCCCACCCCGTGCGGCCAGGTGCCCCGGGCTCCGTCCCTGCTTCGGGCCCGCCCATCCCCCACCCTGTACCGGGGCCGCAGAACCCAGACCCCTAAGTCCCGAGGCAGGGGCCGTGGGATGCGCGCGTTGGATGCCCCCGGACTCGAGTGCGAAACCCCACTCCCAGTCGCGTAGCGCCCAGAAGCCCGGTAGTCGGTCGGCTCCGACTCCCCAGCAAGGGACTGACCGGGAAAGCGGGTTGGGGCTGTTGGGAAAAGCTGGAGCTGATGGCGAGATTGCCGCGGCTATAAATCCATCACTTTCCAGGTCAGCCTGGAGAGGTGCTGGGACTGGGGCTGGCGGAGCGAATTCCTGGGCCAGCGCGCATGCGTCGGCAGGTATCAACCCAGCTCTTTAGGACCAGGTGAGATGTTGGTGAGCAGGTAAAAAAGGAGGATTTGCCAAAGCGATTCCAGGGAGCGGGCCCGACCGAGCCCTCCAGCCCATGCCCGGCGGGGACCCTTCTCCAGGAGCGCCGAGCCGCGATGTCCATACTTG